GACAGCACTATCTGATAAACATCTAGTATAGTAACTGTTGCTGAGTGGCGTGTAATCGAGTAAAAAGAAATCAAAAGTCTCGCCACCAGACAGAGATCTCCGCCTTCGGGTCTAAAGACTGACTTATGAGTCTATTGTGGAGCGAGCCATCGGCCTCCTCAAAAATCGGTGGAGGTGTTTAGATGCCTCGGGGGGCAGACTGCTCTATCACCCTGCAAAGGTGTGTAAAATTATTAGGGCTCGTGGAGTTCTGCACAACGTGGCACTGAGGGATGCCATTCTCCTCCCCCCTGGCCTCCCTCCCCCACACCATGAGGACCCCGACCCACAACCACCTCCCCGACATGAGTTTCAACAGGGAGCAAGGCTCCGTGAAGGTGTCATGCGGCGTTTGCAAAAAGACAGCAAGTATGTTTCTTTTTTTTTTTACAAGATCTTTAATGGAGCTGGCAATTTCAGACATGACATCACACATGCTACTCATCACTGTACGTATTTGTTGAAGTTCGTCTCTGACTTCATTTATTGCACTGATGGTGTCCCTTTGCGTTTGCAGGACAGTGTCGGTCAGGACCCGGCCACTTCCAGGTGCGCCATGCGCTCGGGACGCACTGGTGCTGGGCGCACTGGTGCTGGGGACAGCCAAGCCTTCAGCCACGGTGCCAAGACATGCCGTGCCCGGAACCTCCTCGTCACCCACCGCTTCCAACTCTAGAGTGACTGAGGACACAACACATAAGTCCACTGCCTTTTAACAAGTCTCTGTTGAAATATTTAATTTAGGGTGACCATATTTTGATTTCCAAAAAAGAGGACATAGACATAGTATTCGGCCGGTCACGACATAGCCAACTTAAATAATACTCGCAGTTTACTCAAAGATGCCTTATCATTTTAATATATTTAAAATTTATATGTATGGATAGATACATAAATTCAGTTATATTACAAAATAATATCTCTCAAAGACAAAAATTCAGATAGGCCCCAATAGGGGACACATACACACACTAGAGTGTGGCGATCCGAGCCCGACGGTACCTGACGGGTCGGGCCGGGTTTGGTCAAAAATGTAGCTATAAATTGTATTCGGGCTCGGGTCGAATTCGGTCAGCTTTCAGTGAAAATGTAGTGTAAAAATAAATAAAATCCTATTGTCTGTCCTGTTTATAGCTTGGGCACTGATATTTACGTGACAACACCTGAACATAACACACACAGACACACATAATACATTTAATAAACAGATAAAACTGTACTTTACCGGTCTCCTCCGTGGTCTCTGCCAAATCTGTGTCTCCTTCCTTCTCCGACACTATATGCCACACACGCTGGCTGTCCCAAGGATGGAGGCTATTTTGGTGTCCAGCGGTGTGTGCTCGGGTGTGCCCTTGCCCCCATCTGTAGCAGATAGGCTTTGACGGTGCCATGCCACTCTCCTCTTGGCCTCCACCTTCAGATCCGACCACTTCTTTTTCACCTCTGCCACAGATCGCCACAATTTACAGCGGAGACGACGTGCTGCCACTCACTTGTTTTTCTTTTATTAGTGATGCCACTACTGTGACCACCAAATAAAATAATTTTTCTGGCCTCCACCTCACCCACAAGCATCTCTATGTAGGTCTCCGTGAAATTTCTTTTACTTGTCTTCTCTGCCATGATTGAGCGTAAAATGGCATTGATCAGCAGGCTTATTTTTATGCAAAAACATACATGAGGTACTTTGCATTGACCATTCATGGTAAAATGTGGGTGTGTAGAGTGCGGGATTTGAGGTGAATTTGAGGGAAAAGTGCTTGCAGGTATAGGCACGGTTTTATAAATCAGATTATTTTTGGTGCACGCTATTTGCAGCTTTTGGGCGCACGTACACTTTTAGTATGGATCCTACGCAATGTTTATAAATGAGGCTCCTCCCTTATGTTTAGACTCTGCTGTGACTGCACTGCCCTCCCTCTCACCAACACTAGCTACTACTACAATAGTGTAAAGCTAGACAACGTGCGTAGCCACCATGATACTAGATTGAGAACACTTCGGTATACATGTATGAACTTGGACGACGCAGTAGTTTTTTGGAAATAAAGACAAAGTCAGCTTCCTGGCTGTTACTTTCACCCGCATCGCAGTCTTTCACAGCGGATGAAGTTTGCCTAAACATTCATTTCTGACATGGAAACAGTAGTTTGACAAAAATAAAAGTCAAATTCTCTAATGAACTTTAATCCATATGACAACTCAGCCGATTCCATCCACTATGGATTTTGGTTTAAGCTCAGGAGAAAGGCGTTCAGTGGGTCTATTTGGTCCACATGTAAAGGCTTTAATTTTGAAAGTTGTTGCCGGAAGTTCTTCATATGAATCTCCGTGGCTTGGTCGGTGGGCACACACGCGTGCACCTAGATGATTGTTGTCTGCTACCCGAAATAGGAGAAAGCGAAACATAACGAGGATATGAATCAGTTACTAAGTTTGCGTGTCCTCGTGTAACGGGAGGCTCCGTGGCTCGTGTACTCGGTTTAACGTTCGTCAGTGTTAGCGGTGGCGGACTGGCTCCTCGCCGCTGTGGCGGAGGGAGTAAGTAAATGAAAGCGTTGTTTGGAGCTGTTGGACAAAGAGCTTTTCTTCCCTCTAACGTTACCATTGTTACCAAGCACAGCGCCTGTTTTCTAACTAATTCAGAGGTGCTTTCGGACTGTAAAAGTAAGCTAACTACTCTCAAGTTGTCTGTTTTGAAAAAGGGGGCACGAAGACGCGGGCTTATTGCGCTCTACTTTGATTCATTCACGTATTCAACTAAGTTAGCACTGTAAGCACTGGGTTACATTAATTTGACACAAGGCTAGCTCTAAGTTTATAGCAATGATAATAGCAGTTACCAAAGGTATTGAATTGGTTTGGTGTCCATAACCTCCAGTCAAATGTAATTTGTTAAATTTAAACGGAACGAGGAAACCGTAAAAGGCTTTCTTTGCGTTAGCGAGTTTGGCTTAAACTGGCTTAATAACGCTCAGTACTAACTTACAATTCTTTACAGCCAACTAACTTGATACCCGTTGTGTTATTCACAGTAATAACGCTACAGAATGATGTGTAAGGCAGCTTTTAAATTAGTTTCTCTACTTCAGTAGTCAGAACTTGATTTGAAGTAGATGGTTCCACAACAACAATGTCCACACTAGTCCAGTGATCCTGCGTCACAATCAGAGGACATATAAGCACATACAAGGAAGTCGACTCCGGCTTTAACATTGATAATGTACTCACAGAAAAAGACACAACTCAAACAAAGACAACAGATTTGGACAAATAAAGGTTAACTATAGACAGCACTGTAGTGAACACAAGTGATCCTGTTAGGGGTGGGAATCACCAGGGGATCCATGATACAATATTATCATATTACTTTAGTCACGATACTATATTATTGCAATTTTAAATATGTTGCGATGTGCTGAGTAATGCAATAAAATGCGTTGCGATTATTACCTTTTTTTGACTGTAAATTATGTCCCTAAAGGAAAACTTTGTTAGCATCTAATAAGATAAAGTTTTCAGCCTGTTCATCTCACCTCAGCCTTTTTTTTGTTTTTGCAGCAAAATGTACTAAGTGGACTAAAAAACAATTGATTATATTATTCTAGTAGGCTACCTAAAGTTTAATTTGTATTACAATATTAATAATTTATGTAATAAAATCAATACTTGGCATTGAGTGACTATATGATATTGCCACAAAACTTTAGATCTTGTGTGGAGAGACTTTCACACCAGACAGCACCCTGAAATCTGGCAATTCAAGGTTGTCTTGCTCATGGCAACAAAAAGTCAATAAATATGACTCAAAATTGAGAGTGACACATTGGGAACCACTCTTAACATTTTACTTTACATTTGTTTAAAAGGCATGACTGTAGGCTGGACTTGCAGATGTGCTCAGCTTGTTAGTCTTGACAGATTTTTCGCTAAAACTAGCTACTGTATCATATTGTCTTGTCACGTGATCAAATAGAGACTTGGCATTAGGCAACATCTACATGTTACCCACTTACATACATACATACATACATACATATATATATACCCATGGGGGTGGTGTGTCTTTCTCAAGCTCGGATCCGCTACCAGAGGAGAAAAAATAGGTCAACATAAAACTGCCATGTTGGAATGATTTGCATATTGCATTCTTTGTGCATTTGAACATCAGGGGCTAGGTCTCAGGACCACGTGGCCAGCACTTGTTGAGTGCCAGCACTTGTTGAGTGCTGGCCACGTGGTCCTGGGACCTAGCCCCTGATGTTCAAATGCACAAAGAATGCAATACGCAAATCATTCCAACATCAGGGGCTAGGTCTCGAGACCACGTGGCCAGCACTTGTTGAGTTTGCCATGTTTTTTGTGTTGACAGGTGAGGGGTAGCCTGTGCTCCAGTCATGACCTCTGGCAATGGGAATACTAACAGCAGCCAACACAATGGAGAGAGCAAACCAGCCCAGGCCCTAGTCAAGTCCCACATCCTCACCCATCTGATAGAAGGCTTTGTGATCCAGGAGGGGGCTGAACCTTTCCCTGTGAGTACTGAAGCTCTGCATGTGTCTTAACTGTAAAGTCTCTAATACACACGTTGAATGGGATCATTATATGAATGGTCATAAAGACCTGGGAGTCGACTGCCTACAGTGGCATGCAGCTGGACATATTGACTGGTTGACCTGAGGCCTGTACTAAGAAGCAGGATTTGGAGTTAGTGAGGTACCCTTCGGGTTAACTCTGGATTTTCAGTACTATTAAGATGGTTCTCTTTTTACCGGGATAAATCACCATGGTAACTTATGCTGAACAGCTAACCTGCTCCAGAGCATGTTATGTTCAGAGTATAGGATCATAACCTGTCAATACCCTGACCTCTGACCAATCAGATCACTGAAGAAAAATGTATCCATGGGCAAAAGTCCAGAGTCTCAGGTAACAAAAGCGTAGTCTATTTATCGTTATATGTCAGTAGAAGCATTTGATTGTTCCAAGGCTCTATTCCCACTGGTTTTAAAACAGAGCTTTAAACAAACACAGAGATCGTTTACACACTAAACACATGATTTTAGCAGCATTTTAACTTGTGCTAAGTTTATTTTAATCCACAGTGATAATGTTTCTATTTTACACTCTTATTCCATCACTGCAGCTCAAAATACCATGAGACACCTGTGTGATCAGAGCAAAGAAAAAAAGATGATATTTTATTTGAAAAATGATCCACACACTGTTAAGCGGCTCCTGTTATTATAAATGCAACATTTCAGGCAGATAGACCTCATCGATCACTTAAGATAGGAATCACCAGAGGATCCAAGATACAATGTTATCATAATACTGATGTCATGACACAATATTATTGCGATTTTGAATATGTTGCATAATGCTGAGTATTGCGTTAAAATATATGCAATATATTACCTTTTTGGAACTGTAAATTATGTACTCAAAGGAAAACTTTGTCAACATCTGTTTTATCTAATAAGATAAAGTTTTCAGTCTGGTCATCTCACTTCAGCCATTTTGTGGCAGTGGATTGAAAAAGCAATTGATTATATTAGTCTAGTAGGTTACCAAATAGGGTACCTAAAGTTAAGTTTGTATTTATCATACTAATAATTTATATAATAAAGAAAATCAATACTTGGCAGTGTGTGACGATACGATATTGCCCCACAAAAATATTGTGATAGTTTGCTGTAGTGGTACTTCCCGTTAGCTGAACAGTTTTGTTTTAAGAACATCCTTAAACAAGTTAAAATCCATCCAGCTCGCAACTTAACCATTCTCTTAACAATCTCAAAGCTGCCTATGTCCCAAGTGACAGAGAAACCTAAATCAGCGAAGAGTAAGCAACGGAGGGAGGCCCGGAGGAGGCGCTGGTGTTTGTATGCTCGTATCGGTTCAGTTACTGCTGACTTGAAAAACGAAATCTTAATAATGAAGAGAGACACGCAGACGGCAATGGCAGCGATCAAAGCTAAAATACTAGCACTTGGCGAAACCATTGCAGAAGTTAAAAGAGCTGAGACCCAGCACTCTAATGACATCTCCGGGCTGCAGACTGAGTTGGCCCGCCTGACAGCAGAAACTGCCAGACTGTCAGGTAAAGGGGGATTTATGGTTAATAATAAATGAATAAATAATACATTTTATTTGTAACGCACTTTACATAGAAAACAAATCTCAAAGTGCTACAGAAGCAGTGTTGGGGGTCGTTACTCAAAAAAGTAATGTATTACACATTACACATTACTTAGGAAAAAAGTAATCGCTTACTTTACTTGATTACTCCCTGGAGAAAGTAATTAGTTACAATACTTGTTAAATTACTAGTTACTCTGTAAAATTGCCTGAAATGCATTGTCACGTAATTTGAAAGTTAACAATATAGCATTAAACCTTACATATGTATAACAATCTTAAGGTAGGTATAGTTAACTAGATGGATATACCCAGAGTCGGCTTCATGAGGGGGCACCAGGGGGCAGTGCCACCCCACTTCATTCACTGTGCCCCCTCACTTGTATAAAAGCATATGTTTTCTCCCATCAGTGTAATTGTAGCGATGACTGAAATCCATTATGCTATTAGGCTGTTGCATGAGGTGTCAGGCCAGAGCTTCTTGTTCATTGCACAGCTGGTTCACAAGGTAGGCCCCTAAGCAGACTTCCCTCTTTCTCTCCTTAAGTATTTGCAGGGTTTCCGCCAGAGAAGTTGTTATGCCAGGTGGGGGGTGGTTACTGTGTGTAAAGTTGTTATGATTATATTACCTGCCCACTGGCCCACAGTCATATAGTTCATTTTTGCATATCAGCGCCACATTCATCAAATAAAAAAAAATTGAATTTTTAAAATACTAAGCGTGTCATCAATACTTAGGAGAGTAGGACAACGGACGTTACAATTATAAACTGGAAGTGTGCGGTCCCTTTGCGCACAGAGTAGCAGAGTGAGACGTCTGTCCTCGCTCCTGCTATCTGCTGTAAACACATGAAGCTGCTCCCATGTCTCCCCGGGTCTCTGTACTTGTTTGCGGCAGAAACTCTCCCATCCTCTGGCTCGTCCCCGCATCTGTGTTCGCCGCTTACAGGTGTTGTGCCGTAGTAAGCACGCCTGCCGTGAAAAGTGGGGTGCTTTTCATGGCAGGCGTGCTTAATACGGCACAACACCGGCTGGACACGGAGGATGACCCGTTGGCAACAGCCTGAAGCCTATCATCACTAACTCTTAAGTAAGGGAAGATATAGTGATGAATTTATGTAACGCAAGTAATGACTTAAGTGTTTGATAAGTAACTGTAATGTGATTGCTGCATTTAGGGACAGTAGTGCCTTACACTACTCGTTACTGAAAAAAGCCATTTTTGGCAGTTACACCCAACACTGTACTGAAGGCAGTGCAGATATGCTATGCTAAGAGTTACAAACGGACAACATGATAAAATACATCAAAAGGCTTTAGTAAAAAGGTAAGTCTAAGTTGCGTTAAAAAGATTCCACAGTCTGCGGTGCTCTCAGGTGGTCAGGGAGAGCATTCCACAGTCTAGGAGCAGCCAAGCAGAAGACCCGGTCTCCCATGGTGCGGAGTCTGGTCCTGGGGGGGTTATGGTGCAGGAATGATATCCGCATAATAGGAGTCCCAGAGGGAAAAGAGGGCCCTCATCCCACGGAGTTTGCTTCTCACCAGTGTGCCATCCAATGAACTGAGGCTCCTCTGAAGAGGAGCCACCTAGCGGAGGTGGAGTATATCCTACAAAAAGCATCTTAATTGAAGAACCTAAAGCACCAGACTGCCCACCAAATGTGGTAAGATGCCAAAGAGATTTCACTCTGGCCAGGGAGATAATGTGTAACATGCCGAGCGTCAGGTGCAGTAGCTTGCCCCGGCGAGGCTCATTGTCACCCCAGCGACCAACAACACACCTTCACCGACCCAAAGGGGGCTCTGGACTACTCAAAGCGTCACTTCGGGGCTCTGGAGACATGACGTCAATCAGTATGTCACCGTAGTGGACTGTTTTTTATTTTTCACTGACCCTTGTGCATGTTGCTGTTCTATGTTGGTGTTAATTTCTCTGTGTATTCTCAACTTGTAGCTCGTCTCGACACCAGCCTCAAATGCACTGCCTATACGTTATTAGATGGACTTATTTCTAGGGTTCCTACGTGTTATGTTTGAAACTATTTTTGATAGTTTCCTACAAAGTGTGCTGCCATCTTATCATGTGTTTACTTGTTTTTTGTATTCATATTTTTGAACTGGGGGGTTATTGGTGCTGTGATAGAGTATAGCACTTAGAGGTGTGCGCCTTTGTGCACCACAGCTGCAAGACTGTCTGAACGGCTGTAGCCATCGTTTGGGATGGAGACCTGGGTATGGGAGTGGTTGTCAGTGTTTGTTGTTTGCTGTTTGCTGCTTGTTGGGTTGGTTTTTTGTATCTCTTTTTTGTTTCTTTTCTTTCTCCCTTTTTGTTTTCTTTTTTCTCTCCCCCTCTTCTCTGTCTCTCTCTCTCATGGCGTAGCAATTGCTTGGGCCCCACACTCCAGTTTACACAGTTTAGATGGCTGACAGGGATCTGAGTCCAGATAGACCCACTTGCGAATTAAAGACCACCACAGGCCGAAGTATCGATATTTTGGCCAGGTGTTCCATTCAGGTTTTGACTCCAAAGCCAGAGGCGTTGCAATTGTAAGTGGTAAGACAGTACACTTCTCCACCTCTACTGTTATTTCTGACAAACATGGGAGATATTTAATTATTACTGGTACGCTTTGGGATACTCCTGTTATACTAGTGAATGTCTATGCACCCAATTCTGATAATACTGCATTTGCCAACAATTTATTAAGTAAGATTCCCTCTTAACAACCACCTTTTGATATTTGGAGGGGACTGTAATTGTGTTATTGACCTATCTTTAGATTGCTCTACTTCCAATATGATGTCTCCATTTGCCATGGCAAAGTGTTTTTCAGATTTGAAAAATGGACAATTTTGTGAAGCAATCTCTGCCTCCATTAATGATTTTCTCACTTTCATCAAACAAGCTTCACCTCCTACTCCCTCCTATGGGATTCAATTAAGGCCTAATCTCAGAGGGCAAATTATTTCTTATTCTTATTATCTTAACAAGATGCATAAGGCTAAACTGGATGAACTTTCTAAGGCCATACTCGAATTAGACCATCAGTGTGCTTTTAGTCCATCTCCAGTACTGTATAAACAGCAGCTGAACCTCCAATCCGAATTTAACCTCCTGTCCACTAGAGATGCAGAACATTTGCTTCTGAGCTTACATGGCACACTTTATAAGCACTGTAACAGGGCAGGTCAGCTGCTGGCACACCGATTAAAATGCCTTGCTGCCTCCCCATTAATTCCAAAGATTCTAGATTCCTCTAATAATTCGATTGGTGACCCCTCAGATATTAATGATACTTTTCACATCTTTTTATTACTCCCTTTATAGGTCAGCGGTCCCATCAAACACTGCAAACATGAACCAGTTTTTGGATCAATTAGTGACTCCCTCAGT